TCTCTCTCTCTCTCCTCACTTCAACACAGGACAAAACAAAGTAGAGGTTGCGGCTAAATCCAGCTAGGTGAACCAGTGGGTTTGAACAGAAGTATACATGAGAGGTCACTTACAGAGCAGAGATGACTCAAAAGCAGCGGCATCATCCACAAAGCCCACTTGGACATCATATGTAAGTACATTTTGATCTCTCAAATTCATGACCCATGTGTAAGTACAACCTACTGAGTCTATGATTTTTTATCTGTATGAATATGACTTCATGGAGGACTACTTGGTATTGGCTGTTTAGCCACTGGTGAATTTCTGTTAAAGACCAGGACATATAATTTGTTAATGGCTCTAGCAGGCCCTTTAAAGCAGCCCCTTTCTCCAGCAGCCCTGTGTGCTTTTGCTTCCTTTTCCCATTTTTTCCTTGCTGAGACTCCTTTTGGCATCTGTGTATGACTCAGACTCCAGTGGCCATTCTACTGAAATCTCCTTTGTCCACAGTCACAGTGGTAACTGACTGTTCTTTCTTTTAGACCCTCAGCTTTAAGGCAGAACTTAATGCATGTCAAGGACAGAATTTAATCTAAACAGTCTTTCTAAGGCTGTAAGTAATGAATCTGGGACTGGCAGTTTACAGAGTTCCTGCTTAATTCTCTAGACGATGTTTTCTTTGGCTTTTTTCCATCAGTGCCTTGAATTCATAACTACTTATTCTTCTCTCCTTATGGAATGAATCCAGCCTTGTTATTCCAGAATCCCTCGTATTCACACCCTGCAGGCACAGTGAGTCCTTTCTCCTGCTCATGTTTTGACAACGTCCCCTGGCCCGGGTGACACTGCCGTCCATTCACTCACCTGCATGCTTCAGTAAACTGTCACAGCACACCAGGATTGAAAAATCAGCATTCCTCCCAAATGCAAATCATTGCTAGTTAAGAGTTTTAAGACATGTGGGAATTGCCTACCTAGGAAAGTATGCAACCTGGATGGGGAGATAATTTTGAACTTTTGAAAGTCAGAAAAATAGTCCTGGACTTTCTCAGCTTTGGATGTGATAGCATTTTCATTTGGGTGGTAGGAATAAGCAAGGAACTGGGCGGGGGGCGGTTCTCACGGGATGCTACCGGTACTGTGCTGATGTGCAGTGTCACACGCAGAGACTAGACTCTGGGGTGGAGCGGCACACTTAGCTTAATGCCAGGAACGGAGGGTTAAGTGGAGTCTTGTGGGGACCCTTCAGGCACACGGCCCCACTTAGCAATGATGCTGAAAAGGGCGTCCATGAAAACCTCTCCTGCTTTCTTGATCTGAGATTTTTGTCGGTATATTTGTGTAATAGGAAATAGAAAATTGAAAAGGGTAAGATAAATTCTCCTCCAGTTTTGCTTAACTCTAGAAATACAAAATTTTCAAGTCTGGTGGCCAAGAAGACTGCAGTTTCGCTGTTCCTGATGCTTCAGTGTGCCCCCATCCCCAGATTTCCCACATCCTTATGGGGAGCTGTTTGTTTAAAGGCTGCCTTTCTAGGTACTAGGATCCCCAGTCAATACTGCTTAAGCAGAACTGAGATTTTTCTGGACAACATGACTGGAGGGTAGTTAGGAACACTGTCAGTAAACTGACCAGGAAATCTAGCCTCTGTAATTTTCACAGAAGCATTCCAGGTAAACAGAGATACCAATAAAATGTGAGTGAGGCCTTCAACTAAAAGTCCTGTTTCTCAAGGATACCATCATGTCAGAAGCACTGAGATCTCTGAGGAAAAAACTTCCTTTCTGTTGAAAGAGACTTTTGTGTGTGTGTGTGTATGTGTGTGTGTGTGTGTGTGTGTGTGTGTGTGTGTGAGAGAGAGAGAGAGAGAGAGAGAGAGAGAGAGAGAGAGAGA